GATCGTGTGATGTATAAAATATTAATTTCGGCTCGACAAACCGGTTTTTGGAAAAATATAAACACTATTATTGTAATTAACGTAACTATTTCAATACGAATTAATTTTTATAGTTTAGTAGAGTTTTTTAAACGGGTAATTACGAACTAGTTTTTATGTCGTCATGTATGATTTAAACACATGCAGTATCGACGAAATTTTAACAGCTTATAGGGAAGCTAAATCAAGAGTGACAAAAGGTGTCTGTCTTTTGCTCAAAAATGTTGTGTACTTTTGATCATTTAAAAACGAAAGTATAGGAATATACTCGACGATGAACGTAAAAATATATTGAAAAAAGGTAGTGTAATTCTAAAAGTGAAACAGACCAACGTTCCTAAAAATAGATCGGCTCTGCATAATGAGGAAATAAAAATTGGAGATATCACTAATGTAATGAGTTTTTCCCACTGACACTGCGAAATGACGTCAATATTTACATATATTCGCTTATCATTTTTTGTGAATTTGAGCTTTTTACGTAACAAATCAAAGCAGCCACTTCCTGAGTGAACGCTTAGCAACCTGAAAAAGCTCACAGTTGTTAAGTTTTCGAGCATCCTTAACCGCCAAATTAGTCGCTTTAAGTATTAGTCTTGTTTTTAGCAAAAATTCTATCTAATTTTAGCTGAAACTCCAGGACAAATCAAATTCTCCGAAAAACCAATTTATCCTCACAAAACACCCGTAAACGTAAACACAGAACAAAACCGAAACAAATTACTTGCCGAAACCAAATTGGCCGTGAAACTCGTGCCCTCTTTCACGGCAGATACACAAAGAAACGCCACTGATTAAAAAAAATCTAAAATTCCTCAAATATTCGCACTGTTTACGAGAACTTCACAGACTTGACGTCCTGCCAACGATTACGTTTTACACGCACCTGTTTCGCCCGTCTAAATGGGAATAACCTCTTTCCGAATTTATGTTCATCAAGTGCGGATCGAACCGATCAGATTGGCCTGTTCGGATTAATGGCCGTCTAATTTTTTAGCACTTTTATTTTTAAATCGGATTGTTGACGCAAACGGACCCGAAATTAGGTACAACAAAACGTAATTTTGATTGATCGGGAAAAGTTTGTGCGCTTTTTAATTGGGTTATTTATTGGGATGCCGGTGTCCGCGGAAAAATTGATTGAGGTGGAAATTAAAGCGCCCGTTTTGCTAACTCAACTGAGAAAATACTTGCATGAATTTTGCAGATAACGTAGGGTGGCGTAACGTTGGTAACAACAAGCTATCGGTTAGGCTGTTTCGTACCATGACGAACGCTTGGATGTATTCCCAAGCTCCCCCAAGAATCAGACATCGCGAACTTAAAGGATCAACTAAATTGACATATGTCGTACGTAATGAGACGTTGATCTGTGGATGGGGATTAAAATTTTGTGTATTAGTCGCTATATAAAACGAGTAGGGTTATAGGTAGCTCTTTTATTACATTCCGTAGAAAAAATGCCACAGGAAACATTGACTTTTCACCAACCAAGTAAATAGAGCCGAATTTTAAAAAACTAATACTATGCGACCACTTTTATATAAAATGAGATACAACTCAAAAAATAAGGCTATGGAAGGTGCAGCAGATCCTCTAATTAAACGATCATTAACATCGGAAGCTCATTATTGCTGATAACACATAATTATTTACACAGCAACTTAATCTCCTAAAGTTTCCCAGAAGGATGTCTCGTCACCTGTCATTACGCTGTCGCGTGTTGTTCCACACATGAAAACCAAATCACTATTAGTTAACCTTCTCGTAGGAAAAATTACGAATTATCTGACATTATTCGTTTATTACCTCTCCCATCCCATCGCATTTGTGTGAATCCCAGACCGACTTTTACAAGGGCCATCGAACTAAAAGTGGAAACTATTCAAAGCCGACAATAAAAAAAAATCGTTTTTTAATGTGGTCGTTAAACGGTTTAGTTGGAAGGTTTTAGTTCAATTAATAGGAGATACTTTTTACTGCATGCGTGGTTATGTAGCTGGTGTTATCCCTTGTAGTTTATTGAATTACGGAGTGATTTTATGGATGGACGTAAATAAGTGGCAGAACCTGCTGAGCCCGTCGCCGATGATTAATTTTATGGGATTTTGTGGTAATCAGTCAATCTTTCGGCTCGAAGTGGGTTAAGTTATCAGGCTGAGTGCGAGAGAGGGTGAGGATTGCTTCTGTAAAAAACAGAAAAAGATTCTTGAGCATTATTTTCGCGCCTGTGACAATTAAAAATTTAATGGAGATATTTATTGCTTCTACAATAAAAATTAACTGTCGTTTATGTAAACATTTATGATCTATAACGTGAAAAAGGTGATAAACTACGTTAATGTGGTGTATAATAGGCTTAATTCCTTTATAGTTACGTGATGTCAATAAATACAAAAGACAATTAGCGAAATTACGTTCTGTACAACGTATTTTACGTTAACCTACACAATTCCCAATAGGGAGATTGCATTTTCGATTTCACTTAGCGAAACCACGTTCCGTAGAACGTACAACACGCAAAACGTTGAAAAATCTGTTATATCTATGGAAACACAGAAAATGCAGTGTCCCTATTGGCGATTGTGTACGTTAACGTAAAATACGTTGTACGGAACGTAATTTCGATAATTGTCTAGTGTCTAATAAGTATATCCTTTACGTATACGTACAATGCGATTATATAATACTATATATTATTGTCAAAATACTTATGTGGTTTTCGTAAATGCAAGTAAATCGTACCATTCAATACTCCATTCTTAACTTTGTAACGTTATTTCAGTTTTAATTTATAATTGTTTTAATTGTCAGTCTGGTTGTATGAAAATGAAAATAAAATAAAAAAGTGTAAATTTTCGTTAAAGCCGTTTTTAAGAATAAAAAAATTGTTTTACGAGAATTCTTGAAGATATTTATGGTTGGAACAACAAATGAGAAGTTCAAAAAGAAAGTTTTGTGGCTGTATTAATACGTTTTCATCTTTTTCTACGATCTTGTTTCGTGCTAGGAACCATGTAGTACCGTGGCTAGTCCAAGCTCGAAAAATAATTACTAATTTTTCAGTCTGTTATAACGTGATTTCTTATTAAAGGAATGTTTTTGTTGCCCTATTGCAATGTTACAACTAATTTATTTTTGTTAGCAAGCACTAACGCATTATTATTAGTTTATTGCAAATTCGTTAATTCACCTTTTAGATGCCATAAAGTTTATCCGAAAGTTTAGTTCGTAGTTAGAAAACTCATTTTAGCTAACGTAATTAGCGAATTTAAATTAATTGCTGGAAAGGCAAACTTAATATTTGTGGCTTACTAAAGTATGCCCAAATTATAGAGCTTTCCGTAATGTGGAAGTTGTTGAATTGCACTTTACGGTGCTTTAAATGTTCTAAAAAATATAAAAATGTGCTTTTTACATCAACGCGAGTCTTATTTTTATAAATAGTGATACAAAAAAACTTTTTATGACGATATTAAAAATTAATTTCTGATTAACGTCAGTATTCATTATGACAGCGAATTGAAACGTATCTCTGTTGTAGCAAAATTGAAATTTACAACAGAATCGCGTTTTTCATTGCCAATATTGTCAACGAACTCGCAGAATAATGAAAATGTAACAGTACATATTATTGTGTTCTGTTTTTGACATGTGAACTCCGGATCTGTACATTGATAAAAAGTTATTGAGCAGAATATTCCACACGACTATAATGATAACTTTTGTCGTATTATGTGTTTGTTCTTTGTTCGCGTAAATCTAAACAAAAATAGTTTCACTACGAACGCATTGTCAATGAACGATTGGAATAATTTGACAATTTTCAAACATGAACTGTAGGCGATGCGAAACAACTTAATGTAAAGGAACAAAAATTTGCTTTAATGTTCGTCCGCATAAATAATTATCATCATCCAACGAATTTAAATTAGTTTATTAGATTCATTCCGAAACCATAAACTACTCATTATGACATAACGATATCAACAATAGTTATTTCTTTCATTCGTTCTAAAATTAGAAAAAAATATGTGCTCGCTACGAAATTACATTTTCCTAATGAATGTTTATTTTTTTCTGGTAAACAATAAAAATGAAAATTTTCAACCATTACTCGCTTCGTGTAGGAGTCATTAATTAAACTTTTATCATAGTGATTTTCGCAGTATTAAAACGGATTTATCGAGTCTCTTGATTATTTTCTTTCACAATAAATCCCTCCTATCTGATCACAACTTTGCCGTAAGACTGTAAAATGGGAAAAGGTGATAATTTAGGTCTGTCAGGCAGTAGCGTAACATGCAGAAAATGTCTACTAAAAATATTCCAAAAATAGAATTGTACAGATTTTAATCAAGGACAAGGTGACATCTTTCTGTGACATATTGTGTAAGTGGTGATCTAATTTCATTATTTCTACTATTTTCTGATCGCATGTGTATCATATCACATAAGCAAAATGCAAACATTTTATCGCAAAGTTTCAGTATCATCATTTTTCTACAAACTACAAAAGCACAAAAATTCAAGTTCTAAATTTTTCAGTAGAAAAACACACAGCATAGAAAAAATCTCAAGTAAATATCTTTTATTTGGAGAACAAAGCCCGTAAAGTGTAAACGATAGGCTGAAGGTGGCAAAGCAAAAACGTTACCTTCAGGATACTTCGGCCGATTTCTCGGGGTGATTTTCAACATGGCATTAAACTGGGTTTTTTCGTATATCGATGTCTTCGTTTTAACTCGAGTTACTGCCTATTAAATAAAATCGCCATACAATAAAACTTGTGGCAGTTGGGTTGCCAACAAAACTAACTAACAGTAACATTTGTAACGTTGAGCCATTTAAGATCGAACGAATTCGAATCTGATTGGTGATTGACCCCCATCGTATCGCGGTTTAGCTACGCCTCTGCGGCCAAGTGTCAGACTTTGCAATTAATTAAAGTTAGGACTTACGAGAGCGACTTGACGCTGATTAACTTCCCTTAACCTCATCCATAAATCGAGCCGAGTCCCGGATTATTATTACTGTCTCACAACCACTAGCACGTTAGAGAAAAAACACACAAAACCACGATCACTGCAGTGCTCGAAAATCAAAATTTGTTGGATTCAGCTCGGTCGGCCTGGCCTATTTTATTTTTATTTCTCTTCCCGTGCTGACATTTCTGCACGTCCCACTTTCTGGCCATTAATTATGCCATCCCGACCTGCAATTTTTTTTAGTGAGGCGCTGCAAGATGAAAGTGTAGAGGCTCACCCCTCGACTTAATACCGTGTCCGGTAAGTGCGCTGCGTGCAGAAGAGCGCCAAAACTCGGAGCTTACGTTTTCGCGTGCGTACGCCTCTGGCCCAGGCTCGAGCTGCCACTGGATCTATCGGCGCTCCGACACAGACTGAGCAGGAGGACCGAACGGACGCTCTCGGCGCGTCTGTACGCTCGCCGCCACCGCCGATGCCGTTGCCGATGCCGATGCCGATGCCGACGCCGTGCGGTTTGGCATTGATCAAACGCGTTGCAGTTGCACACCTGCAATAATGCCTTATCGTTCCTGCACAGCAGGATGCCTGCGAGCGGCCTATCGTCGACTGACGATTGCGTCCGACTCGGGCGGCGATGACGGCATTGACGACTGATAATGGCGATTGTTACACCCAAGGTGTATTGTTGTTGGCGGCGTTTTCGTCGGATTTATTTATAGAGAAAACTCGAAACGACAGAAGCGACAACGGGCGGAACGAAGGTTGCTTTTGGCGGGAGGTGACGCCGACCGATTTCAAAATTCGGGGCGCTTTTGGCTCGCTAAAGGCCAACGAATACGAAATGAAAAGGCAGCTACTAACTACTTCCGAGAGATGTTCTTTTGAGGTTTCGTAAATTTTAGAACACAAAATGCAGTTTTCTCGTTTTAGTCTTTCTATTAACGATTTTAACGGATAGTCAATTTCCAATAGGACTGAAGTGAAAATTTTAACTATATGTACCTATATTTAGTGGTGTCGTATGTATGTACTTATTGAACTGAATCTAAATTGCAAAAGTTTGTCTTGTATCAAATACCTTAGAAAAAAAAATTCTCTCTGACGGTGTTCACCAGATAGTTTTTAAATCTTGTAACATCGTAACGACAAACAGTTGTAAACGCAGTATCTTCGTTCTATTGCACTTTTTCAGTAAAAATCAAAGAGTTATGGGTCGTCCATCACAAACATTATTTTACACTTAGACGATGAGTTCGTGGATGAGCCATAAATCTTTGATTTTTACTGAACTAAATTCTACGATGGGTCGGACAGTTATTGCAGTATTTCAAAAATACGTGCTTGTATTTATTTGATCGTTAACATATCATCTTTTCCGTCTTGTATTTGGAAATTGTGGATTACAAAATGACATCTAGCGGTGCGAAGCAAAAACGCAATATTTTATCAGAAGAGACATCCCACTCTCTTGTCTTTAAAAGGTCAATTTCTGATGCCAAACAAAAGCCTCTGAAATTGTTTTAATGAAAAACTCTTGACCTTCCATTTCGTAATTTCCCCTAGAATTTACTCAAAGTTACACTTCCCGGTTTATGGGAAAGTATTCGCCAACGACCACTTCGATTACTTGAATTTCTAAAAGATCAAAGCAAAACGTCGACAATAGTACAGAGAACCTAGTGTGTTTACGGAAAGCAAAAATCACATATATTTACGGGGTAATTACTAAAAGCAGAAACAAGTTCTTTGAAATGACGACAGCAATTTTAAAATGCTTTTGTTATACTCAATATCTGGTTGACCGAGCTTCACTCGGCTCGTTTGGTAGTATTAGATCAGATTAGGACAGATAAATATGCGTATAGTACCTATGCATTTTGAAGTACACGCGCTAGTTAAAAATACACATTAAAAAAGAAATTCCATAAGCAGTCTTTGTTTTAAATAGTGATGAGTGACATGTAGAGATTAAAGAATGGAAAACTGGAATTATTGCTTGACATTTTTATTAAAATCTCATTTGTTACCCAAGTTCTCTCTCTGTCGTTCTCTTTTTTTCCTAGTTCTCTCTCTCGACTCTAGAAAAAGGTCACAACCACTTTCTTACTGCCAGAATGGTTTCGCCTCTGGTGTGATTAACATACTGAGTTACCGTACTCTTTTGCGTTATTTCTAATTTCTCAATCTCAACCCTGCTCCCGAAGATGCCACTTACGAAAGTGTGCGAAAAGTTGAGCCCAAAAACTGAAATAATACGGTCCCATCCCGGAAAACGATCACATATTGACCCTGACCGTCGAACCTCTGAAATGAATGCTTGACAACATAACCTTAACTCAACGCACTTTCGTGTGCCTTTTATCCGCTCACTGTTTAGTTTTCCGTAAATTTTGTCACCTCAGAGGGTGAATTTTAACGTCCTCTATACAGTGGAGTATGTTTCGGTACGTACAATTGAAGATAAAAAGGTACGTCAAACGTACTGTCAGACTGTCACCCAAACTTCTCTTATAAAACAATCTCGTGTTCGTGTAGTGTCATCCGATGTTACCTAGCAACGAATATAATTCACTGCCTGTAAATTGCTGAAAATGTATGAAGCTGTAATTTTCAGAAGTTAAAACTATGATGAATCGATTTCTTGACCCAAAAAACCCCCAACCTGTAAATTTCATCGAAATCGTTAGAGCCGTTTTCGAGAAACCCATTATATATATAGATATATATTTATATATATATATATATACAAACTTTGCTCGTTTAATAGTATAAGATTACGAGATGTCAGAAGTTCAAACAATACTGTATTTCTGCTTAGTTACAGTAAATGTAATGGCGAAGATAATCCCACGTCGTTGTATTTAAAATGGAGCGGGAATTAAGTATTAATGGCGCTATAGACAAAACATATTGCGGGTTTGTGTAGTAACTAAAAAAAAGAGAAAGAGACTATGTTATGACTGTCCATTTTAATAAAGTGTCTAAACGTACCTATTTGTTCCAATAAAGTGGGGGGAAAATCCGGGCGACGAAAGTATTCGAATTTTACGGATATATTAAGCCGCCGTTGTCTCCAGCTGTCAAGAATCTTGATGTGACTTCGGTACATACAGGAATTTATTTTAAAAAAGTCTCATTCCGAGGTAGAGTTTCTGCGAAAATTGAACAAATAGAAGAAAAGGGCCGACAAAGCCCTAGTCGCATTTATAACTTGGATAAATTGCTAATAGATCGTTGCTGAATCGTCGCTCGCCTTGTAAATCTCGCCCCTGATGTGATTTTTCTCGCATAGAGCGACCACTTAAATTATCTCTGTTCGAAAGAAGCCAAGAATTTCCACCAAAATTGATTTCTTTAGGGTTAGTTATTCCTCAAATAAATTTCGCCGAATCGAGATTTCAATTTTTCCATTTTTCGCCAGAAAAAAACCTCTCAAGGACCGTCCCTATAACGGAAGTTATATAAAGGAAAAATGACAGATGTTGACCGAAAAAATCGGTTTGTTTTATAGCTCAAATACGCGTCCACAATTTTTCATTTGATTTGTCGCATACATCCAATCTCGAAACGCCCTTTTTGACTTTATCGATTCGCTCATTCCATTCTTCCCGAATGATGACTGTAAATACTTTTTCCGTCGAATTTATTCGGCTGCGCGACTTTTCCGGAGCCACTTTGAGCGCTTTTCTATGACCCGATTCATCCGCCGCCGATTTATTATAAAACAATCCGCCCCCTCGAAAGGCCTTTCGGATTATTTCACATGAATCAGCTCACGAAATTTTTTTGCAGGAATTTCCAAGTCGCCCGAAAACCCAATTGAAAGATGATAAAATCAAATCCACTACATCTGTTACTCAATATTAAATTTACATGAGCCGCTGCCGAACATCTTTCATATTTATTATTTCTTGGCCGACACAAAGAGAATTGCTCATGCATTTAGAAACTCAATTTCACGAGCGAATCGCTCGTAGTAGCTAAGAAGCACGCAGACGTGGACGAATCGGCCGGAAAATTCGCCGATTTTACATGGAATCGCGAAATAACTATTCGGACACCGCTAAATATAGTAGAATGGAGGGATGAGACGAGGGATGACAATTCTTGAATTGTTTATAGCGTTGGACGGGGGGCGTAGAATCTTTTTTTTTTCACCGCGTCATACTTAGTTCGATCGATTCAGCTGGTGCTAAGCCTAGAGACGAACTCATGGGGTTTAATTTCCTGCACCCTACCATATTAAGAGATTACTCAAAGTTTAACAATCCAGAGATGAAATTATTCCGAGTGTAATTCGGAGGCGAGGATTAAAATCGACTTGTGATTTCACTGTTATTACCCGCGGATTGGGCGGGACCGGTTTAGGCCTTGCGGGCTCGAATTAAGCTGATTTTCGAGAGTGCAGCCAAAATTCGGGCTTACAAAAAACGGATTATTACGCGAGGAATTACAATTAGCAGAACGTTGGGATGACATTGTAACGAGAACAATTGGAAGCGAACAAACGAACAGGTTTTCTGAGGCATACGGTTTGTCGTCCTAAAAAATCTTTATTCATTTGTTGTTGGATTTCTGGTAATTTCATGTACTTTGTATACAGAAAAATCGTTTCCTTTTTTTTTTTTTGTTTTTATGTGTATTTTTTCTTGTTGTACGAATTTATACAAATTAACAAAATAATCACAAAAATGTGAACGAATGAATGGCATATATCCGACGTCGTTTCCGTGGCAGCCTGCTCCTTCTCTCTCACAGATCGCCGGCATGAATAATGTCAAAGAAGATCGAGCCGAAAAATCTGCGCCAAGTAATTAATTTTTAATTGCGAAAATGAGAAAGTATGGCACTTAATTATTGATAAAATCCCTGTTTTTGCGCTCGTCCGCAGCTCCCTTCGCCGCCCTGGGAAAAATCGTTGAATACCCAGACTTTCCTCAGGTATTTTACGAAATAATTGGTTTGAAGTCGGTCGTTCTTGGTAATTGTTATTGCTTCGCTTTGATGCAAAATGGCTTTGTTGGGCGTTACTAATTTTGCGAAGCTCAGACCGGACCCTAGGTAGACGTTTGTTTTCCTCTTCATTGCTCTATAAAGAAGAGTTTTATCTGCTGGCTGTCGCACAGACGACGACGACGACGTCTCCACTGAATTAAAACGTCGCCGAACGTCCCCAAATTAACGATTTTTTACTTTGGTTGTGGGAGTAAAGAACTTTAACTAAGATGTATTAGGACTTCTTTCGTACTTCATCACTCAGACACCTTTTTTTTTCAAGTCGGAACGTTGATAAAGCGATTGCGGTGTAAATAACTCACGGAAAAATCGAGCCATCGCATAGAAAGAGGATTTATCAAAGGCGAACGCCGATGTACATTTCAAATGCTCGCTGTCAACGTTCCCCAGGGCTGTTGCTACTTGCGGCAGATAAATTCAAAATTCAAGACAGTCTGCGATTTTTCCTCCGATAAATCCGAATCGAGACTCTCTTTTAATTTCGTTTTGAGCGTCATTCGCTTCTCTGTTCGCGTATTCGCCGACAGTATAAAAACAATTTTTGGGTACCGTCGCTTAATTCGTTTGTCCGCTCGCTAGTTCGTGTACAATAGACGCTT